GGAGGCCCCAAGGCTCAGTGTTAGGAGTCTATGGGGAGGAGGGCGCCCAGTTGGACAAATTAGCTGCTTTGAGAGAGCGGGTCGAACTTTTGGAACGGCGCAGTAGTATATTAGATTAGATTATGGCGCATTAAAATACTCTATGACATGTTACTTAAGATAAGGTCTGCAAAGCATCTGCACGAAACAGGCTTCGCATTGCTTGCATTTGGCAACGACTTGACCCAACTACATTCCAAGCAAGTGATTGCGGAGCTCCTTTCCACGACGCACGGGCACTGTACGGCAGAAGGACGCCTGTACTGTCTACGTCCACATCTGCAGCCACCAACTTCACACCTAAACGGAGGGCCCATAAAGCTACGGCTTGAGGACGTTCTACCTTCAATCTGAGGAAAGCCAAGCCTACCAGACTCATTAGACCATCATGGGCTTTGTGCCCACCTGCTCTCCATAGGCCAGGTTAATGAGCGCCATGTACTTTGGCACGTCTCCAGTCACTGGCAACCCGGCATGCAGCACAGCATTGGGACTTCCTCGGCGGAAACAGAGGGCACGGCCCTTCTTAGGCCTTACGTCCACATGCCTGGAGCCATCAGCCGTCCAAAGGCGAGTCTCACCACCCTCGAGGCCATCGCTTTCGTAGTCGTTGAGGTAGAGAAGCATGGAGAAGCCAGAGACCACCTGACTTGGCGAATGAACGCGCCAGGCAAGAAGACGTTAATTGTGACTGCCCGCCGGTTACTATGCCAGAAACCAATAGAACCTGCAACGTATGCCGCCCAACTAGCAGAAGGGCAAATAAGAATTTATGAGTCACTTGCAACTGCATAAATTGCATAACTTGTGACTACAAGCCAAATCACTTGTGAACCGTGGATGCCTGCCAACTTGCCATTTGCCCGAAAGCATGCCGAGTCACATGTGTGACTACGAAGGATTTGCCACAGATCACTTGTGACTTCGAAACACCATCTTACATCACTTGTGAGCAATAAAACTTTGAGTAAGGTTTAGGACTTCTGTTCGCGCATAGCCCTATTTCATGTAAGCTTGGCCGCCCGCAGCACTGCCTTGTAGTTAAGGGCGCTTTCGGACTTGGGCTTATATAGCTTTTTTGGGGCTCCTGAAGGGTTCTGCAGGGTCTAGGGCTCAGGGTTTGGGATTACCTGCTGTTTAGGGTTTACGGCTTGGGGTCCTTGAGGTTTGGGGTTCGATTAGCTTTTTTTTGATTCTCTAGAGATTAGGATTAGGGGCTCATTAGGTACCCCGTCAAGCCACCCCGGTCCACTCTTCCACACCGTCGCCACGCGCGTTGGCACCCTGGCCCGGAAACAGGCCATCCACGTGGCGGTTGAAAGCATCGCCCCGATTGTACTTGAACTGAGCCACCTTCTCCGACAGGCGAGGGTACAACCTTAGTTGCCCAAGGGCAGGCATAGAAAATTTGAGCTGAAATCTTCTCCTATACCCTAAAACTCTAAACCCTAAAGCCTCAAGCGCTAAAGCCTCAAGCCCAGATAAGTAGAAATTGTGTTTTCGCTGTGTTGTTTTTAAGGGCTCATGACAGTGCAGGTGTGATTGCTTCGAAGCACTAATGGTTGAAGTAGATACTATTTTAAATGTTCAAGAAATTTACTCAAACCAGGAGAAAAGACAAATCAACAATCTAGAAGTGCCAAAGTGACAATCTAGGATCACTCAATCCCGCAAAACCACACATTGACAATTCAGGGCAACCAAAGTGACAATCTAGGGAGGCCAAAATCATAATCTAGAGGGCCAAAGATGACAATCCCCCCAAAAAAATTGCAGAAGGCGCCAAAAAGCACAAATTTGCTACCAAACACTCCAAATTTATCAAAACGTCTTGTTTTAAAGATCCCAAGTGCGCTTCACACATTTGCTCCAAAAGGCAACAAAAACTCAGATTGGCTCTGAAGCACACGAATTGGCTCCAAAAGGCCTCTAAGAGCCAAAAGTACACAAACTTGCTCTAAAAGGCTCCAAAAGGTGCAAAGAACCCAAATTGGTTCCAATCGGTTCCAGAACACACCAAGACTTCAAAAAGCCAAAATTGGCTGCAAAAAGCCAAAATTGGCTCCAGAACGCACGAACTGGATCCACAAGGCACTAAAAGGCCCAGAATACCTCCAAAGCTTTCTGAGTGCCCTCACGGAAATAACCTGCCAGCGAGGCTCAAAAAAAGCCTAGAAAGCCCGTTCTGAAACAAATCCACTCAAAAAAAATGTCAAAAATGGCGACCTGAACCCAGGAAAATTTCATTAAGCCCTAAACGCTGGAGCCCAACAAGCGAGGCACGGTAGTCCGTTCTCCAAGTGCTGAGGCACCAGGTCTTTGATGCGATCGAAGATCACACCCAGGAACTGCGGAGCGACTTCCCTGGAAGGGTACCAATGAGCTGCCTCGTTGACCCGCATGCCTTGATCGTCACATTATATTGGGGTTAAAGTAGGGTTATATTGGAGTAGTATTGGGGTTATATTAGGATTATATTCGTGTGTGGCAGCATGCTAGGATCCAAACTGAATTCTGAGCTTTCCTCGCGTTTGGGGGGTAACCTTCCAAATCCAAGAAACCCCTCCGTGCTCAGCAAAATTTCCAGATGTCATTCAACCCTACGAAGGCTTCAAATCGCTGAACGTAAGCAAACGCTGCCACTCTGCCAAAAAATGAATCCCGGAATCCCGACCGAATACACCCTTCAACAAACATACTGTATGGTATATATTGTTGCGACATCCTTCAAATTGATCCCTTGTTGCTCTGCCCAAGATGCCCGGAGGCGTGTTGATCCCCGGCGCTACCCGCGAGTGGCCGTTTGCGTCCAGGATCGCTTCAGCACAGGCCGCCAGGGCGTCGGCCTCATCACCTGATAGGATGTGATCCACAGTGAAGGCGCACCTGTTGGGACCCAGGTCAACATCCACGCGCTCCATGCCATCTTTAGATTTTCCAGATCTGCCTTCCGCCATGTTGCGCAGTGCTCCTGGCAGCTCATCGATTGTCCAGAAGGCCGAGGCCCCTTGTTCCCCGAAGTTGCCGGAGCCGCTGGTAGGCACAAGAACGCGGGGCCGAGTGGAAGCACCCAGCTTGGAAATGCGAGCTTGATAGGGACAAGCCGCTGCCATGGCAATAGTGGTTCGCCCAAGTTGAGGCATGGTGGAAGTTGTCCAAAAATGCGCTTGCTGCGGCCAAAGGTAGCATGCTTGTAGTGATGCCAAGATCATTGCGGAAACATACTTCCGCAAATGTGGTGAGGGGATGGTCATCAGAAAAGAGTCAATCGATCCTGATCTGGGATTTTGAGCCCTTGTAGCGAGCATCATCAAGTAGTTGGCAAGACAGCTGGGTATATCAACAAGGCAGCCTCGCTTTACATGGAGAATTTGCGCTCGATGCTGAGGAAGACAGAAAAGTAGAGCAGATAATCCACATTTACGGATAAATTAAACAAGTTGGCATGGCAACGTTGCATCAATGTCTACGAGATAACAGTTTCAAAGCAACGTTCGATATAACGTAAAGTGATCTCCAACTTGCCAAGTAAAGTTCTCAGACCCCAGCTGCCCACACAAATGCCCCCAAACATGACAATTGTTCCACAAAGATTCGATCTCCTCATATTGTCTGCCAAACTTCAGGCAGATTGGAAAATGGCCGATGGTTTCCAACCCCAAACCCACGTCGTGACGGCGTCTTTTTATCATCCCTGGCACGCACGATTGCGAATTATCCTTCAGCACATGCTGGGCTAATCTGCAGTCGTGCTTCCTCCCGCTTAACTCTGGGAGCTGCCAATTCCTCAACTTACACCTACAGCGGGAGGGTAGCGAAACCCAAATGGGTTTCAACACCATGGAACCTTAAACAATCATTTCGCGTAATCCCTGTGGCGACTTTTGAAGTCTACCAGCAGCCTATGAAACAAAAGCTCGGGAAGCACCGCGATGTTCAAGACAGAAGCTTATGCTTGCCTTCATACATAAGGTCTACTTAGTGTACTTTCAATCACCACTTCTTATTACCAGAGAACATCAGCGGTGCTGAAACTATGCAAAACTGCCAGACAAAGCTTGCCAACCTAGCAGAAATGCACGCACATCATGCTCTCGAGCTAAGAGTTGCCTCAAGAGCAATTCCAAAAAGTTGAGGATATGGCAAGCTGAAAGGAATCAAGACCACGCTTCCACAGTGTATCCTCGGCCATGCAAGAAGAAGCAGCCACATTGTTGCCACATGCTTTGCTAACTTCTGCAAACCCAGGGGCTGCCCTCCATCTTGAGGTTTGACAAGATGGCTTCCGACTCCTCCTCGTTGCACCTCAGGATGATAGAGCTGCGGATCCTGCGTTTGAAGACGCATGACTCTGCATGACTCTGCATGACTCTGCATTGCAAGACCCTGACTTCTCGTTTGCCATGATCACCTGCGCCGCTCCATGCCAAGGACAGGTGCTGTCAGTACTAGCTGCAGGCCCATGAGGGCAAAGTGTACACGACGCTTGGCATGAGTGAGGCAGGCGCCTCCTTCATGGCGGTGTAGATGTCCTCCGGAACTTGTCTGGCGGAACCGCAGACGTAGAAGTGGCCATCCTGGCGCAGCATGTAGTCTGCGACCTTCTCGCCGGCCTCACACAGGGGGGAGATGGCCACAGGATCTCGCAAACGCCCTTCCTCTTCCTTGCCTCGATGATCCGGTGCTGAACATAGATCTTGCGAGCCTCATCCGCATGTTGCTGGCAAACGAGACCAAGCATCAAGCGACACGAAACCGAGACAGGATGGTTGGGGACGTGTCTCCGGCCTGCTCTCGCGAGAAAGCCGTGTGCATGCTTAGCACACCTTCCTTCACGTAGCTCTCAAACTCTTCTCTGTACAGGTACTCCTTGGATGAGCACACAGGCAACCTCAACACGTTGCACTCACTCTAAGCTGGAAATGCTCTCATGTGCTCTCCGGGTCTCCACAGCGTATCGAGCACCGAAGAAGAGCATGCAAGGGCCGACCTTCGTCCCCTGGCGATGTTGCATAATTCGCTCCTGTGCAAGCGCGGTATAAGTATATGTAATTATAAGTATAAGCCATAGAAACGTGGAAATGAACCGTGGTGGGTGGTGAAAGTCTCGTGTGCAGGCGCGTCCTGTGTCACCGCACGCCACGGTGCTAGGCCAGTTCCCATGCCTGCCATCAGCACCGGCCGTGTGGCCTCTGTGGGGAGTACGATGGCGCTCTGCCGGACGGCGCACATGATCTGCGCGCCGGGCTTCTGCTGCCTCATGTAGCCTGAAGTAATGCGGGAGAGATTTAGAGGGAGGATGAGGGAGGATGGGGTGGCAAGGTCAAGCATTCTCGCTTCGGGCCTGTGCACTCACCCAAGCGAAGTTCCTTGGTGGTCTCCACGGTCCAGTCCACCAAAACCACACAGAGCTGGATCCTGTCCGGATGCATGAGCGGTGAGCTGGCGATGGAGTAGCTCCTGGGTTTCAGCACTGGAATCATCTGGATCAGCTGCTCGATGGGCGGCCGGGCACTTGAGAACTTCTTGAAGACGTCCGCATGATGAGCAAAGTCATGGACCAGGTCCCTGTATAGCGCGGAGCCCTCAGCGTTGTTCTCGACGATGCTTTGCAGCTGCTTCTTCTCTGCCTCATCCTTGGTGAAGTAGGACAAGGTCTCGAAGAACTTTCGGTTCGGCTTGCCGAAGATGTCCAGCACAT